AATATGTGCATGCCGAGCTGTTTGCGAACCACTTCGGATGTTAGACGCAAAGTGGGACCTGAATGAAGGTGTAGAAGAAAAAGGAAAAAAAAAAATTTGAAATTTTTCGAGTCTGCTGACATAGAAGGGAAGAAAGCATTTTGAAAAGCATGTGTGCAATATTCCCGACTTCTTCCTCAAATGCAATTTACAAAATGGTTAAAATTAAAAATTATACTCGCACATATTTAAAACAAATAAGTCAACTAATTATAAATGTATACTTGTTAATCCATCCGCAGAAGTTAAACATACATTATGAGTATTGGACATCATTTTCTGTTCTCCGCTATTCAAATCACGAAAATGAACTCTGTTTTGCCGTAAAATCGTAGTGCCGTTCAAAGTTATTAACAAACTAATTGTGTATATATAGTTTCGGTGTTGGCCGCTGTGGCCAGAAGCGCGTTCTACCACTCGAATGACCTGGATTCAAGCCCTATTCAAAGGCAACATCGCAAAAAAAATATAGAAAAAATGCTTTTCCTATCAAACTTCCGAGTGTATTTTTATTATGAAGAGCACACCACAAATTAAAGGAGAAGCTCGGCCAAATACTTAGCAAAAATATTATTACTATAGTTTTTGAAAGTGGCATAAGTCACTTCACTACATACCTGTTGTGCTTAAATGGCCGGTTACTCTTAATCGAATGCATCTATAAATCTTCCTGTTGTCATAAAGTAATGACAAAGCCTTTTACCTTTGGTTAATGAAGTTGAACGAATAACGGACGCGTCCAGATAAAAGTAACCGGTCATTAATGTACCAGAGGTATGAAATGACTTATGCCGCATTCTAAATAAACAATTTCCATTGTTTACAGAAGCAAAACCAAACCTTCAACACATACATTTCGGAGCGTAGGGCTGTTTTAAAAGTGCCATGAAATCGATGGGTTTTGAGTTATGGCTCTAAAGTATTTAAATACGATGTGGTTTAGTATAAGCTACCAAAAAATGCAAAAAAAGTCGGGTTTGAAAAAAAAATTTTACGAGCCCTTATACATTTCCACAACGATATGTAAATTAAATTTTGTTTTTCGTTTTCTTACTTTACTAACCTATTGCGCACAATGAGTGATATAGCTCGTAGGTGAATGCTGTTAGCGGTACATCATCGCTTACCGGCACCAGCGCTACAGTAGAGTATTTGTGTGTTACCGGATTCGCCTCCAAGGGCGCCGCTGTGCTCCCATGGCGCGTCTGCATCGTGCCCAATATACGATGACTCAAAAGGCTTATGAGTTTTGTTACAACAATCGGGTATCGCAATTTGATAGCATTAAAAAGGCCTTCCGGCAATTTTGCAAGTTCTGAATCGCGTACAGCCATCACTGTGGTTGTGCGACATGTCTCCGTTATCATTTCCACGAGACCCACAAGATCACCTTTGCCGTATTCGCCTATTATTTCTTTTTTTCCACTTGATTGCGTTATCACAGAACGCATGCGTCCACTTAGCACAATATAAGTACTATCGCTATTCTCCTCCTGTCGATAGACGGCACGACCAGACTCTAGAAAAATCCAATCGAGCGCATAATCGCATTGCCGTACCAGCGGCGAGAGACGACGCACTTCACAATTGCCGAGATCCAACACGATACGAGGGCGTTCGCGCATTATTCTATACGACACAGAGAAATCCATAATTTACAAACATATATGTACTACATACATACGTTGGAAAATTTACATAATATGAACTTACGCATAAACGCCAGGACGACGTATGTAAGCAAGTCGGGTTATATATTTGGTTTTTATTGTGTACGTGCTTGCCTCGCCCGTCAGCACAGCGAGTCCACCAACAATTTCACCTGGGTGCACCGTGTAAATATACACATCCGAACGTTCAGTCTTAACGGTGCGTGTGACATCCACGCTACTTTGATACACATTCAAAGCGCCCGTGAGAACAATCCAAATGCAGATATCCTTGAAATGTCAAATGAAAACATTAAAAAATCAGTAAAATCAAATAACATTGCTGTAAATTCATTTCTCACATCCACATTTCCTTCGTTGATCAACGGAATATTCGCCTCCACTTCGCTCAATTCGACGTAGGGATCTATGGACGTGCGATCCTCTTCCGGCAAGCCAAGTTCACGTAAGAAACTGTCCAATGCATAGCCGCGCAGGCTGGCCAATTCAGCATTGGCGGCATTCGCCAACGCTTCGGCGTGTACCAAAGAATAGCGACGCGTTACCAAATTACCAATGCTGTTCGCTCGCGAATTCGCAAGTGTCGGCTGCCCACCCCCACCTCCACCTCCACCCCCATTAGCATTAGCGCCATTACCAGTTTGCTGCGCCGTTGGCAGCGCCGCTTGTATGCCCATGTGACGTTCCGAGTCATGCGCCAAGTCAACCAACATATCTGGTGGCGGCATAAAATCCGACAAAGAGTGCTGTATTGTGTCTGGGTGCGTGAAGCGTCTTAACAACGGCGACGTCTTCAAAATTGTGGCACCAGCGCTCTTCTTAATGCGCATATGGCTTTGTACCAACTCCGAATTTAGACCGAGATATGTACGCAGTGCTGTGAAGAGTACGCGTTGCAAGCGCACCATAATCACTTGGATAACACGTATCATAATATCGGGATTCTCGTTGAATACCTCTTGGAAAGCCTACGTGAGAATATGAATACAATAAAAATGATAGTGACTACTATGGAAACAGCATACTATATATTTACCTGCATCGGTAGGCGTATAACAACAGATTTCTCCATTGCCTTCGCTGTGACGGTTTTATAGAAGCTTGGATTACCCGACAACACATCGATGAAGCTCAAAAGCGACGTCACCGATTCGCCCTTCTTCACAGTTTTCAACGATAATGTGCTGCCGTCAGCGTTCGATATGAAAACATGCACTAAACCGGATTGCACAATGAATACGCTATCGTCGGAGTCAGTAATCTTGAAGAGAAAATCGCCGGGCTGCAGCGTCAACACTTCTGTATGCTTACACAGTTTCAGAAAAATCGGTTTTTCAAAGTGCCCGAAAATACGTATACTTTGCAGCATATAGAGAGCGTCAGGCGGCACGCGATCGCTGCCTTCTATCGCCTCTTGTAGATACTCAGCTGGAGGCTCTGCAGTATTCAGAAGCATTGGGATGTTTTCCCGCCGTAGCTGCAGTATACGTTTGGCGAAGTGCATCACCGCTTTTCGTTTGCGTCCTTGTCCGCCGTACACCTGACCGGATACGTTCTTCACTTTACGCAGCATTCGACGGCCGTAGAAAAGCATTTTGTCGCGTTTACGGAAACGCAGCCCAGTCATATCGCCCGCGCCCACGGACGAAGAGTCGCGCATTTGTGCTAGCAACTGCAGTTGACGTTCCTTATTACGTTGCCATCGTTTGTAGAATATATACCAGCCGATAACGATGAGTGTCATTAGGGACACGCATATGTACAAGTACGCCTAAAAAATGAGGCATCACAGAAAAGCGAGATTAAATTAAACAACAACAGTTAAATTCATTTCGAAAAAAAAAAAAATTAATTTCACAAAAGGGCAATTATCAAAAATATTATAAAAAAGTCGTTAATCGTGCATAAATAGTTCTACAGATATATATAGAGATTATATATGTACATTACTTAACATAAACATAATAATGAAAATAGTAACCTAGATTTAACTAGGCATTCGTACTGTATGTAATATATATGTTTTTCAAATAATTTTTTATTTTTTTTTTTCTATAAAACTATTGTCTGTGCTTAAACCAAATCCATATTAATTAAAATTTCAAAATTTACATATGTATACAAAATTTTGGGCAATTCATCATTTTCATAAAAATTTCGAATTAAATATATGTTTAATTGGCATTTTTTTAGTATAACACAGTGCATATTTGAAGCAACTAAGAATTCCCGTTGCTTTTTAATAATTTTTTTGACACCAGTCTTTTGCCATTTTTTCTTTCATAATGGAAGTTCAATGTAAAAAATTGGCGTTGATTTTTGGAAAGTTTTTTGCGAATCGCCACTATTGCATACGAAAAAAGCTCAAAACGCCATAAAAAATTAAAAATGAACGCAATTTTTTAGACGTTTGAAAATTGCACTTTACTATACTAAAATTTAGTGGGCTATAATAAAGCGGCATAACCGAACATTTTCTAAAAATTCAGATTAGAAAATTCGCAATTTTGATGAAACTTTGCTAAATTTTGTATCAAGTTTGAAACTTTTATTTAGATAATATTGGTTAAACCATGAACAATATTTTTATAAAAAATAAAAAAAAATTTTACTTGAAGCACATGGTGAATATCTAACAAAAACTTGCACTTCCAGACTTTTGAATCATTATATGTATGTACATACATATGTACGCAAGTACAACGTTCACTGCACATAAAATTTGCTGCGATAACCACAGGGTTTCACCAACTGTGTTTTATAATCACTGAAAGTCTAAAACGCGATAAACGTATGAAAATATAGATGCACAGTTCCAACTTTAAGTGTTGTGAGACTAAGGCTGAACCCACACCGAAGACGACAAAACATTTTTAGGTGTCGTATAGAGCAAAAGTACATAAGTTCTTATTATTCAACCCATAAATACTAAGTGAATCGTAACACGACACAAATGGGAAATAGGGAATAGAAAAAAAAAAACGTTTTGTCGTCTTCGGTGTGGGTTTAGTCTAAAAGCATTTTTTCAATATGTATAAAAAAATTTCAAACATAAATATTTACATAGTAAGGAAGAAACACCGTCAGCAAAAAAAAAATTATCAAAAAACAACGAGTTTTGCACGTTATTATACAGAGGCGGAAATGTGTTTTTATTTTTCCTTTTAATTTTACAAATACGCCTCCTGCAATGGAGAGGCTGATGGTCGTTAGTAGTATCAGAATCCAGCATTGCAACATCCATACAGCCACTTGGGCGTCGACTGATCCATACAAGCAGCCCACAGCTACCCGAAAGACTAACTCGTAGTTGTTTCGGCGATCTAACCCCGTTTAGGTCGGCGAAGTATCTCAGAAGTTGTCTGTCCATAGGGCAACATTCACTACGCATTCTCCTACTCAGGGCTGGCATCGAGTCAAACCCTGGGCCAGAAATATACACCTGCTGTGTATGCCGGAGACGTTTACACCACAACTCCACCTCAGTCAAGTGTAATGCCTGCGAGGGGTGGAGTCACCTCAGGGTCTGCTCGGGACTACGGACACACAGACAGTGGACCACGTCGTACGTGGCCCCCTGTTGCTCAAATAGAGCAGCCTCCACGGCAACCCATAGTCCGCCCGTGCAGCCCCACACACCCACACAGCAACCACACACAGTCGCCACAACACAACAACATACCACAGCCACCACAGACCACATAACACACACAACCGCACCACCACCCACACGCCGCCGCCAACAACTCTTGGTTCCCCCTACAATCTGCACGGTATGTCAGACCAGAATATTCCGTAATGTGACATCAGTCAAGTGCAACACCTGCCTTGGCTGGTGCCACTTTAGGGCATGTTCAGGTCTGCGCACCACGCGAGATTGGACGGGGAACTTCGAGGGCCCGTGTTGCGCTGCTCGGTCGCTGACATCAATTGCGACGCCCCCCACTACCACCACAGGGAGGCAATCACCCCAGCAGCACACACAGCCAACGGCGGCAAGAACATACACCTCACTCACACCCCACATCACAACACGCCTCCCGAACCACATGAAGCTCCTCCAATTCAACTGTAACGGGCTACAGAGCAAGATTGAGGAGATAACCGCCTTTATGTGTCGGCATGGTATATTAATAGCTGCGGTCCAAGAGACGAAGTTGCACAGCAATTCAACTTTGTTGAATTGTGCCGGGTACAACGTGCACCGTCGAGATCGCGAGCGAGATAATGGTGGTGGCTTAGCGTTCATCACGCACCACACCGTGCAGTATCGTCTTATCGAAGCAGACATCGACCGCAGGGATACCACCCTAGAATGTCAGGGCATCGCTATCCGGTCAGGCGATGTCGAGCTCGAAATATTTAATATATACATACCCCCTGTCACCTGCTGCCCGGCAGGATATCACCCTGATATAGGTGCGCTCCTCAGAGGTGAAAACCGTATGGTAGTAGGTGACTTTAATGCGCACCACGATCTTTGGCACTCAAGCCTGTCAAACGATCGTAGGGGAACAGACTTGGCTGAGCAGATAGACGATTCGACATTCTGCACAATGAACGACGACGCACCCACCAGGATTATGGGTAACTGCAGTAGCTCGCCAGACATCACAATAGTCAGCGCTGGTCTGATAAACAGCATAACGTGGCGACCTATGCTGACTCTAGCATCAGACCATCTACCCATAGTCATCTCGATTGATAAACCAACCGACTTTGCCTCCGCCAAACACCGGACCTATGTCAACTTTTCTAAAGCTGACTGGAAAGGTTACGCGGAGTTTACTGAAAACACCTTCACATCGCTCCCCACACCAACCGACGTCCACCTCGGTGAACGTAAGTTCCGCAGGGCTATCACTGCTGCTGCAGCCCGCTTCATACCGGCAGGGTGCATATCGGACCCACGTCCAAACTTCCCTGCCGAAGCGGCTGTTTTAGCAAATGAGCGTGATAGCCTTCGTCAGGCCGATCCCGGAGATCCCCGTATCAGGGATCTCAACGCGGAGATTCGGCAACTTGTAAACGTACATAAGCGGAAGAAGTGGGAGGAGCATCTGAAGACTTGCAACTTCACCTCTGGTGTGAGCAAGCTTTGGTCAACCGTGAGGTCATTGTCTAATCCGACGAAGCACGACGACAGAGTCGAAATTTCCTTCGGCGACCATGCTTCGTCGGACCCGGAGCGATGCGCGAGCTATTTTAGCCGGCAGTTCATACTGCATCCTCCGGTGGACAAAGCCAAGCGTCGAGTGACCAGAAGGCTGCACAAACTGCCAACAAATTGTGCCCCCCTTGCTTTCACTTGCGGTGAAGTTCAGGTGGCCATCGGGAAGGCGAAAGCCTCCAAAGCCATGGGTCCCGACGGTATATGCATGCTGATGCTGAAAAATTTGGGTCCTGCGGGGGTAGCGTACCTAACGGAGGTCCTCAATTTGTCAATGGCCACTCTCATCATCCCAGACATCTGGAAGGTGGGGAGAGTGGTCCCACTGCTCAAACCGGGGAAACCTGCAAACAAAGGAGATTCGTATCGTCCGATTACACTCCTTTCCCCGGTAGCGAAGACACTCGAGGCCTTGCTACTCCCGTACTTCACAAATCACCTGACCCCAGCGAAGCATCAGCATGGTTTCCGTAAAGTGCACAGCACAACAACAGCACTTAACGCCATAAACACTCAGATAACTCGTGGCCTTAACCGTAACCGTCCCTGTGAGAGAACGATTCTAGTAGCGTTGGACTTGTCAAAGGCGTTTGACACCGTCTGCCATTCTACGCTACTAGAAGATATAGAGGCCTCCTCTCTCCCACAGAGGCTCAAACGGTGGTCGGCAAATTATCTAAGTGGTCGACATTCGTCGGTAATGTTCAGAGACAAAACGAGTAAGCAGCGAAAAATAAAACAGGGGGTTCCTCAGGGTGGTGTCCTTTCCCCGCTACTGTTTAACTTTTATATTTCAAAGCTCCCTCAACCACCAGAGGGAGTCTCGATTGTCTCCTATGCCGACGATTGCTCGATTATGGCGACTGGAAATGGAATTGATGACCTGTGTTCGAAAGTAAACGGCTATCTCTCCGAACTTTCTCGCTTCTTCACTGCAAAGTGTCTAGCCCTCTCCCCTACGAAATCCTCCGCGACCCTGTTCACAACCTGGACGAAGGAGGTCAGGCTACCGCTGGGGATTCACGTCGATGACACACCAATTCCGACGGTGAATAACCCCAAAATACTCGGAGTAACTTTCGACAGCCTGCTCTCCTTCTCTGCGCACTCAACCGCTATTGTCAATAAAGTACAGAGCCGCAACAAGGTCCTCAAGTCGCTAGCCGGCAGTACTTGGGGCAAAGACAAAGAAACGTTGCTGGCAACATACAAGGCAATAGGCCGGCCGGTTTTGAACTACGCAGCGCCAGTGTGGTCGCCTGGGACTAGTAGGACGCAGTGGACGAAGCTACAGACCGCACAAAACACCGCACTGAGGACAGCGACGGGATGCCTCCTGATGACGCCTGAACACCACCTGCACGGCGAGGCGCAAATGCTCCCGGTAAAGGAGCACAATATAATGCTCTGCAAGCAGTTCCTGATCGGGACCCACAGAAGTGGCCACCCGTGCAGACAGCTGCTTGCAGAGGAGCCCTCGCCTAGGCACGTCAGGAGGCATCTATATGAACTAACGGACGAAGTCCAGAGGTTCATTAAGCAACCTCTGGACCCGACAGCCTACAGACAGGCCTTGAACGGCATTCACAGGGACTCAGTCTCGAGTTATGTAGACTCTAGACCTGTGAATGC